GGGATCAGTTGCAATGTTCATTATAATTGTGATCTGTCTTTGGTAGTTTTCTATTGAAAATTTGAAAAGTACATTCACAAATATTATTGTTACCTTTGCTGTAGAGAGCCCAGATGACAGTCAGAAAAAAGATCAGCTTCATAGTGATGTTCAGATGAATCCTGTTTGTTAGGTCTCCTGGTTTTGATACTAAAACTCAGGAGTCCTGCTAGACCTAATATACTCCTCCTATGACATCATATAACAGGTGTGTTCCCATGTTTACAGCGTCAAACATCAGGGAACGATGTCACAGAATCGAAAAACAAGTTAACACACCCTTAACTCACCTATTTATGCATACCAGAGTATGAAAAGAGAATAAAGGGTAATTAAAACCAAACATGTGATTAACATCATAAAACACAGTTCTGCAAAATAGGGATTGAGGAAAGAAGCTTCTCAGTTTTGACCTCACTGTTGCAGATGTCAGGTCTTAAGTGTTTTTTTTTTTTTTAAACAACTATATAGACCATTTTTTTTTTATCTCTTTCCTCTTTATCACAAAAATAGAAAGGATTCTACCCTTCGATCCTTACGCATTGGATGTAGTTGAATTGAGCAGCTTGTTGAATCATGTCATCAATCTTCATTACAAAGCCTGTAGACACTCCCATCTCTGTTTCATAGAAACACAAAAAGAAAACAGATGAAGTAGAATACGTACCAAACAATTAAAACCTTAAATGAAGTCAATTTCCTTTTTATTTTCAAGCTTTTCAAGTTGAGTTTCTTACAGCACTAAATGTGACTAAGCTAAAACTATATTTAACTTACAGTTGCATCAGGTCTGGTACCTGAAGCAGATTTTCACTTTTAGTACATTGCTGCGCAGTCCACTAAGTACAAAGAAGGTTGCCTATTACCCATATTTAAAAGCACTATAGTGAGGGAATCTTTGTCTAAAGAATTAAGAATCAAATAAGAACTATCTGATTAACTTCTTTAAGGAAAAGCAGGAAAAGTAATCCCTACAGGGTTCAAAGTTTTTGCGCTGTTTCTGCGACTGGGATGTCAATGCTAAATGAGGAGAGGAGTCAACTACGGTTGCTTGTATATCTTTTATGGATTCCCCATCAATGCCTCCCTTGGGAGGTTTATGAATTTTTACACAGTAGATCATAATATTATTTTAGAAAGACTTGAATATTTTATAAGAATTAAAGGAAAGGTATTAGACTGGTTTAAATCGTATCTGTCTGGGAGGCAGATATTAAAATTTTCAGGCCTACTTTAATCTTAGAATTCTGACTTTTTTCTCAGAATTCTGACTGAATTTTGACAGCTAACAAACATATTAGCATCAGACTGTAGCCATGTCTGTTTTAGAGACTAGCTCTATTGTTTTAATCACCTTCTGCTCTTCCATAAATGAAATAGCATCACCGGGGACCCCTCGGGCATGTAAAAAGATGCCTAAATCCATAATTTTCCACCAATGTGTTACAGGCCCTCACAAATAACTCACATCTTTGTCAGTGAAGCTGAGTGCTCCCACAGCTCTTCCTTCACGGTGCCCATCTACATTAAGATCCACAATTCTGTGATTAAAGTCAGAATTCAGAAATTTTTCCCATATTAAACTGAAATAACATTAAAAATTAATAAAAAAAAAATCAGTAAACTTTTTTTTTTTCAGTGACCCTAATCCTCTTCCGTACTCTGGTGGGGACGATGGACACAGATCCACCTGTCATGTTGCAATACTTACCAGTACATTGTTGGGGTTACTCTGCTCGCCATGTTTATTTGCTATAATAGTGTGCTATCACTCTGCTGTCTCTGCACATATGGACTTTCTGAAATATAAAAGTAACACAGTGCAAGCTACTGAAAAGTTTCTAGCAGATATGGCACGATATGGACAAGTTAAATGCATGAGATTTGATAATGGCACAGAATACACCTGCAAAGAGTTCCAAGCATTATTGAGACGTAATGGTATTAGGCATGAGACCTCAGCCCCATACTCTCTGCATCAAATTGGTACAGCTGAGAGGAACTGGAGAACTCTTTTTGACATGACCAGGTGTATGCTCATCCAGAGTGGGCTACCAAAGACATTGTGGACCTATGAAGTCCAGACAGTAGCTGTAGTGAGGATATATGTTAACAGACAGGTAGCCGAATGTTTCCAGGATGCAACAGTTTGGACAGTCGTGTTACACATATAAGCATCAACAAAAGGGAAAATTGGACTCGAAATGTGAGAAAGGAATTTTTGTGGGTTATGATAAGAACAGCCCTGCCTATTTGATTTATTATCCCAGCACCTACCTGACAAAAGACGATACCCTGTAGGAGAAAAGAAGAGGCCTGCATATTTGAATGATTATGTTTGTATGTTTGAGGATGATGGGAAAGATATTGACTATTGTTACAGACTTTTGTGTAATTTACCTCAAACTTATGATGCAGCTGTAAACTCACCGAATCCAAAAGAGTTGGTCAGTGCTATGGACGAAGAAATGCAATCATTAAAGGACAATAAGACATACACCCCGGCCACACTCCCACAGGGCAAAGAAGTAGTGGGGGGGCAAGTGGGTCTATGCACTGAAAAAGAACATTGATGGATCTGACAAAAACAAGGCAAGATTTGTGGCCAAAATATTCAGTCAGACACAGGGTGTGAACTATGAGGAGACTTTTTCTCCTACTGCTAACATGACCAGTATCCGAGTGTTGGCACAAAAAGCAGCACAGGAGGATCTCATTGTCCACCAGATGGATGTAAAAACGGCCTATTTGCATGCACCGATTGAATTTGAGATATATATGGAACAGCCACAGCGTTATGGAACAGCCACAAAGTTAAAGCTAAAGGGAAATGACAGACTGGTTTGTAAATTGGAGAAATCCCTGTATGGACTTAAACAATCAGGACGCAACTGGAACAAAATGTTGCATGACTATCTATGTGAGAATGACTTTGTACAAAATCCAGCTGATCATTGTGTGTACAGTAAAATTACAGATGATAAGGAAGTGTACATAATAATTTGGGTTGATGATTTGTTTATTGCAAGAAATGATGACATGATTATGAAAAATGTAAAAGATATGCTAAGCTCTCACTTTTGAATGAAAGACCTTGGATGTTTAACTCATTTCTTAGGAATTGATTTTGAACAAAACAAAGACTGTGTTAAAATGTTTAAATGTACATATTTGTCAACAATACTGGAGAGGTTTGACATGCAAAACTGTAAAGCTAGGTCTACACCGTGTGAACAGAGACTAGATTACAGTGACGATGCTGAAACATTGGAGGATGTGAAAAAATACAGAGAAATTGTTGGTACAGTAGTCTGATCTATCTAGCTATTTGTACAAGACCAGACTTGTGTTTTGTAGTCAGTAAATTGTCACAGTATTTCACAACACCAACTACTGAGCAGTGGACTACTGTTAAACACAGTCTAAGGTACTTAAAAGGGGCTGAAAGCAAAGTACTCAGCTTTCAGAAGTACACAGATAATGGCATCATATATGCATACAGTGATGCAAATTGGACAGCTAATGTGAGTGACCAAAGAAGTTCATCAGGTTATTGCATCAGTCTATCCAAAGATGGTCCACCAGTCTCATGGAAATCAAAAAGACAGCCCACTGTAGCTTTGTCAACTTGTGAGGCTGAGTATGTGGCTTTGGCTGCAACCACACAAGAGTGCATTTACTTGCAGCAGCTCTTAAAATCATTTGATGGTCGAGAATACAGATGCAAAATCTATGAGGACAACCAGGGAGCTATAGCATTAGCTAAAAATCCTGTACAGAGATGCAAACATGTGGACATTAAATACCATTTTGTGAGGTGCATTTTAAATTCAGGCAGGGTTACCCTGGAATACTGTCCAACAGATCAGATGGTTGCTGATGTAATGACCAAACCAGCAACCAAATCAAAATTGTTAATGTTTAATGGTTTTCTTGTTGGTAAAGTATGAAATGACTGTACAGAATGTCTTATGAAGAATGTAAAGTTTTTGGTGTATAAGGCTGAATTTGTGTTATTGACAATGTTATGAAATGTGAGCAAGTGGCGGTGTTGAGCTGTGCTCTCATTATTGTTTATTCTTAATTGTTTCTGTGGTAAAGATGACGTCACAATTACATGCTCACGTGACAAGATGATCAATGGCCTACACCTGTGTGGAAATAAATGAGTGTGCCGTGAAGGGTGGTCACACGAAAAGGAATTTCAGCTTGAGTGTGTCTTAAATGGCTACGTGAAAAGCTGTGTAAGAGACTCTGCTAACAATTTTGAGTTTTTCCTTGCCCCTGTGTGCTCTGTTTGTCTGATCTGATCCAGGATTCTAAAAGCTTCTCAACCTGGACCTGTCTTCTGACTTCGGCCTTGGATTTCCCTTCTGGACTTGGTTGTTGCTCGGCGTCGGCTGGTGCCCTCTCCGCTCGCTCTGTAGGAACTTCGGGGGGCGTCGCTCGTCTGGATTCAGCTGTGTTCTCCGCGAAAGGACTGAACTTTGAATCAGGTTAGTGACTTTGCTCCAAGTCGTATTCAGCTCCACATCCAGCCACTGACCTGTATTCTCCTACCCCTGCAGAGATCCATCCCGCAGCAGACGAGCAGCCCCGCACTCCTGTTAGTTTAAATAAACGCTTTGAATTTTCCCATTGTCTGTCTCGCCTCAAATTCTGGGTCCAACATTGTGAGATCATTACAAAACTGTGTGAGATGTGGATTTTAGTCTGTGATACATTATTTGAAATTACTTTTATTTTTATTTTATCATAGATTTTTAGTTCTGATTTTAATTTAGTCATTTATGCTTGTATGTTTTTTTTTTAGTCTGTTTAATGGTGTTATGTTGTTTCACTGTATAGCACTTTGGTCCTTTGAGAAATTTTAAAATGCTTTATAAATAAAATTGGATTGGAGTCAAGTCAGTCAGAACATATTCAAACCATCTAATCAAGGTCCAGTGCTTGCGACTATCTCAGCCCCTCTCTGTGGCTGCCCTTAGCAGACACATTAATTTTATTTCTCTCTCCTGATATTCCGCACCTGCAGGAAAAATAAAGAGTGAGTACACAGTCAGTCAGAGTACACGCAGTCATGTGTCATCATGGTGAACAGCAGGGGGCTCAGGACGCAGCCCTCAGGGGAGCCTGTGAAGACTGATGAAATCAGAGGTGTTCTGTCCAAATCGGACTCTCTGGGGTCTGTTTCTCAAGAAGTCTAGCAGCCAATTTGCGGTGGAGTGTATTGAAGCCCAGCTGTCCCACTTTACCTATCAGATGATGTGGGATGATGGTGTTAAAAGCTGAACTGAAGTCCAGGAACAGCATCTGCATGTCTGTGTTTTTCTCCTACAGGTGTGCTAGGATCAGGTGAAGAGCGGAAGAGATCCTCATTGTAGCAGTTCGGTCAATATGCAAACTTGAACAGGTTGAATGTTGGGGTGAGACTGGGGACGATGTGTTTTTAACCAGTCTTTTGAAGCACTTCATTGAATAGCAGTCAGTCCATAAATGAGATGACCTAAGGCTTCTTTGGGACTGAATTAAATATGGCAGACTTAAAGCATGCTGGCACAATCGATTGGTCCAGTGAGGGGCTAAATATGTCCACATCCTCCAGGTGTTGCTGGCATGGGTGAACAGTTCCTGGATCTTGCTGCTGTGGTTCTGCTTCACTGATCTGATGGCATGGTTCAAGTTGGCACATGCTGTCCTCAATACCTCTCTGTCTCCAGACTTGGAAGCTGAGTTTCCGCTTTTAGTGATTTCTGAACCTCTCAATTCATCCAGGATCCTTGGTTGGCCCGGTTGGGGATGTACTTTATGGCAACGACTTTCTAAATGCATTTGTTAATGTAGGCTGACACAGTCATGGAATACTCATCTATATATATTTTGTAGTCATAGGTTGTTGCAGCTTTGAACATGTTCCAGTCAGAGCATTCAAAACAGTCCTGGAATTTCTCCATGGCCCCCTCAGTCCACACCCTGACCTACCTTAATGTTGTTTTTGTCCTGATTAGCTGGGGCCTGTATGTAGGAATTAGCTTGATAGATAGGTGATGTGATGACCCGTGGAAAGGGCAGGGGACTGCTCTGAATGCATCTTTGATGTTAGAGTAAACCAGGTCTAGAGTGTTTTGACCCTGAGTTACAAAGTTCACATATCGGTAAAAATAAGGGAGAACAGTCTTCAACTTAGCCTGGTTAAAATCGCCAGCAATGATAAAAATGCCCTCTGTGTGTGCAAATTGAAGCTCAGAGAGCCTGGTAAAGAATTTTTATGGCCTCTTTTGCATTAGCCCTGGAGGGCAAATAGACAGCAGTACTGCTAACCCTGGTAAAACTCTCTGGCAGACACTGGCGGTCGTAGATGCAGGATGTATGGCTAATTTGTAGAGTTGTCAAAATCTGTATAAAGCTGCTGCCCAGTAGCGCAGCCATGTTGTTCTTGTTATATATTTATATATGTATGTTTTGTAAAAACTAGTTTTATGTATTCTGAAATATTTTGATTCTACTATAATTGTTTTTATTTTTTAATGCCTTAATCAAGGTCGTTGGATGGGTGGGGCAGTGCCCTAGCACCTGCTAATTGCCAGCCACCAACAGTCTACACAATTTTCCAGGAACCAGCTTCCCAGAAGCTGAAAGGAAATTACTTAATTTTTGAGTTTTTATGTCTAACCAAAATTGATAATGGGCTTACAGCAAGACAGAAGATTAAAAAAACAAACAAAATGGACCATGGCTGTCATGTCATCTTCGAAAAAGCACATCTGAAATCCGGCATAAATGCAGACACTTCCTATTTTTTGGCTTTCAATTTTTATCAAAACGTATGCAGATGCAGAACATCATAAAATAGAAATAATATGAAGAAAAAACTGATTCTATTTATAGAATTACATTAAAGGAAAAGTTCGGTTTTTTACACTTTAAGCCCATTTTCTGTAGTGTCCAGGATGAAATCGAATGATCGACACCAAAAGTTTGACAATTGCTCCTGTCTCTGCTTTTTGGCTCATTTAGAATCTCCCCCTGGCTGCTTTAGAATGGCT